AACCACCCGTATGTACACATTAAGTAAACATTAGAGTAACCACCCGGATGTACACATTAAGTAAACATTAGAGTAACCACCCATATGTACACATTAATTAAACATTAGAGTAACCACCCGTATGTACACATTAAGTAAACATTAGAGTAACCACCCGAATGTACACATTAAGTAAACATTAGAGTAACCACCCATATGTACACATTAATTAAACATTAGAGTAACCACCCGTATGTACACATTAAGTAAACATTATAGCAACCACCCGTATGTACACATTAAGTAAACATTAGAGTAACCACCCATATGTACACATTAATTAAACATTAGGAGTAACCACCCGTATGTACACATTAAGTAAACATTATAGCAACCACCCGTATAATGTTTAATTAATGTGTACATACAGGTGGTTACTGTAATGTTTACTTAATGTGTACATATGGGTGGTTACTCTAATGTTTACTTAATGTGTACATACTGGTGGTTACTGTAATGTTTAATTAATGTGTACATACAGGTGGTTACTCTAATGTTTAATTAATGTGTACATACGGGTGGTTACTCTAATGTTTAATTAATGTGTACATACGGGTGGTTACTCTAATGTTTACTTAATGTGTACACAGTAACCACCCGTATGTACACATTAAGTAAACATTATAGCAACCACCTGTGTACACATTAAGTAAACATTACAGTAACCACCTGTGTACACATTAATTAAACATTAGAGTAACCACCTGTATGTACACATTAAGTAAACATTATAGTAACCACCCGTATGTACACATTAAGTAAACATTACAGTAACCACCCGTATGTACACATTAATTAAACATTACAGTAACCACCTGTGTACACATTAAGTAAACCTGCTAAGATGAGAACAGTGTCTTTGACTATGTTTTTGTGTTTCAGATTTATGATTCCAACGTTTATAACCTATTTTTATTCTTTCTGTAATGAGATTTCTGTTGTTTGTTGATCATATGATATGCACAATATTTTGATTTGTTTTTAGAATTTAATATAAAGTTTATAGAGTAGTTTATAGAAGTTTTGATTCTAGGACACATCATCGTAGAGTTCTACCTCTATCCTAGTTTTAGAACTCACAAACTATGGGCCAATATAGATCTCTATGTATGATGTTTTTTTAAATATTATTATTTTATTTTGTATTTATTTTAAAACAAATTTTCAACTCAAGGGTTAATGTTAAAAAAAAAAGAAAAGTTATTTTCATCAAGTTTCAGCATTCATCCAAGTGGCTTCCATTTCCTACCTTAAGATGAGCTCTATTCTCTCAGGTTTTATCCGCCATTTATTCCCTGTGTTGAACAGTGAAGTCTGTACACTGTTTCTCTCTGTATAGTTTTCACTATGTTCGTTATTCAAATATAATAAAATTACAAATTTCTTCCTTACCGTTCATCGTTTTTGTTCTCAACATGACTAAAGAACATGAAATACAATAATATAAAATAATGCTAGTGGAAGATTTTCTTTTATGGGTTTGCAAATATACAATAAACTTACAGGGGCTTCTACCATAGTTATCTGTTATATGCTTTATTGATTTTTTAAAAACTAAAGTCTGTTAGTGATTACAACATGTTTCTGCAATAATGGTGGAAACAAAGTACATGTCGTTACAAATATTATAACAGTAGTAAATGGTGCTGGTTACAATGTTTTAGAAGTAACAACAAGAATAAACCGGTTACAATGTTTTAGAAGTAACAACAAGAATAAACTGGTTTCAATGTTTTAGAAGTAACAACAAGAATAAACTGACAGTGGTTTAGAAGTAACAACAAGAATAAACCCGTTACAGTGTTTTAGAAGTAAGAACAAGAATAAACTGGTTACAGTGTTTTAGAAGTAACAACAAAATAAACAGTTACAATGTTTTAGAAGTAACAACAAGAATATACTGGTTACAGTGTTTTAGAAGTAAGAACAATAATAAACTGGTTACAATGTTTTAGAAGTAACAACAAAATAAACAGTTACAATGTTTTAGAAGTAACAACAAGAATATACTGGTTACAGTGTTTTAGAAGTAAGAACAATAATAAACTGGTTACAATGTTTTAGAAGTAAGAACAAGAATAAACCGGTTTCAATGTTTTAGAAGTAACAACAAGAATAAACCGGTTACAATGTTTTACAAGTAACAACAAGAATAAACCGATTACAGTGTTTTAGAAGTAACAACAAGAATAAACTGGTTACAGTGGTTTAGAAGTAACAACAAGAATAAACTGGTTACAGTGTTCTGGAAGTAACAACAAGAATAAACCGATTACAGTGTTTTAGAAGTAACAACAAGAATAAACCGGTTACAATGTTTTACAAGTAACAACAAGAATAAACCGATTACAGTGTTTTAGAAGTAACAACAAGAATAAACCGGTTTCAATGTTTTAGAAGTAACAACAAGAATAAACCGGTTTCAATGTTTTAGAAGTAACAACAAGAATAAATTGATTACAGTGGTTTAGAAGTAACAATAAGAATAAACCGGTTTCAATGTTTTAGAAGTAAAAACAAGAATAAACCGGTTACAGTGGTTTAGAAGTAAAAACAAGAATAAACCGGTTACAGTGGTTTAGAAGTAACAACAAGAATAAACCGGTTACAGAAGTTAAATTGGTTATTAGGGCAACTCAGGAGCTGGTAAAAACTATGTTCGGCAGTGGACATTTTAAGACGTTGAATTATTCCATCAGGTTGTTGTAGCTCTATAAAATCAAATGTATCGTTATTCATTGTGGCACATCTCGGAAACAGAAGCAAATGATTGATGACAGAGTATATAGGCAGTGACATAACTAGGTATCTTTGTTCCCGGGACAAGTTTGACGAATTTTCCCATGATTGATGACAGAGTATATAGGCAGTGACATAACTAGGTATCTTTGTTCCCGGGACAAGTTTGACGAATTTTCCCATGATTGATGACAGAGTATATAAGCAGTGACATAACTAGGTATCTTTGTTCCCGGGACAAGTTTGACGAATTTTCCCATGATTGATGACAGAGTATATAAGCAGTGACATAACTAGGTATCTTTGTTCCCGGGGCAAGTTTGACGAATTTTCCCTATCCCATCCCAACCCCGCACACTTTGTATAATCATAAAACAAGAACATCATGTACTTTTATTTTAATTTGTACCTTAACAGTGAGTGCGAGTCTCTCATCGAAATAAGTTACCACATTACAGTGAGCGCGAGACTCTCATCGAAATAAGTTACCACATTACAGTGAGCGTGAGACTCTCATCGAAATAAGTTACCACATTACAGTGAGCGTGAGACTCTCATCGAAATAAGTTACCACATTACAGTGAGTGCGAGTCTCTTATCGAAATAAGTTACCACATTACAGTGAGCGCGAGACTCTCATCGAAATAAGTTACCACATTACAGTGAGCGTGAGACTCTCATCGAAATAAGTTACCACATTACAGTGAGTGCGAGTCTCTTATCGAAATAAGTTACCACATTACAGTGAGTGCGAGTCTCTTAATGTGGTAACTTATTTCGATACAGTGAGCGTGAGTCTCTATCGAAATAAGTTACCACATTACAGTGAGCGCGAGACTCTCATCGAAATAAGTTACCACATTACAGTGAGCGCGAGTCTCTCATCGAAATAAGTTACCACATTACAGTGAGCGTGAGTCTCTTATCGAAATGTTACCACATTACAGTGAGCGTGAGACTCTTATCGAAATAAGTTACCACATTACAGTGAGCGTGAGACTCTTATCGAAATGTTACCACATTACAGTGAGCGTGAGACTCTTATCGAAATAAGTTACCACATTACAGTGAGCGTGAGACTCTTATCGAAATGTTACCACATTACAGTGAGCGTGAGTCACTCATCGAAATAAGTTACCACATTACAGTGAGCGTGAGTCTCTTATCGAAATGTTACCACATTACAGTGAGCGTGAGTCTCTTAT